TCTGCTAGAGCCTTTATCTTGGACTTTCCAGCCTCCAAAACTGAGAGAAATAAATGTTTGTTTTTAATCTACCAGTCTATGGTATTTTTGTTACAGCAGCCCAAACAGATACAGGCCTAACCCTAACACAGCCCTCAGCCAATAACAGCTGAGGAATGCGCAAGCAGGAAAGCCTACCAGTGGTTGGCAAACTGTGGCTCGTGAGCCACACACGGCTCTTTGGCCCCTTGAGTGCGGCTCTTCCACAAAATACTGACTTCTGCGCATGGGCCACGAAGTTTCAATCGCACTGTACGTGCCCGCACGTGGTATTTTGTGGAAGAGCCACACTGAAGGGGCCCAAGAGCCGCGGTTTGCCGACCACGGGTCTAGGCTGTGCCTTTTTCTGTGATGATTCTAATTCACTGTCTTGTGTCCTCACTCATTTTTTTGTGTGTCTCCAGGACAAACATGCTTTATTAGACGTCACACCAAATGCAGTCGATCGCCTGAATTACGCCCAGTGGTACCCCATCGTGGTCTTCCTTAACCCCGATTCTAAGCAAGGCGTGAAAACAATGAGGATGCGGTTATGTCCCGAATCTCGGAAAAGTGCCAGGAAGCTCTACGAGCGGTCTCACAAGCTGCGTAAAAATAACCACCACCTTTTCACCAGTGAGTGTCCGGGGCTACTTCAGCTACGTGTCTGGGCAGCAGTATGTGAGCCAACACGCTGTGTTGTTCCACCGCTAAAACCTCTGTCACCGTGGCTGGGAGGGCTGCCCGGTGCATGCAGGCTCCAGGGCCCACACAGGTCGGAGGTCTGTGTCCTCACACCCCATCTCTCAAATGGCTCAGCGATGAGGCGTGAGGCCTGGCAGGTCCGGGGACTCTGACTGTGGGCAGCGGCCTGGCTGTGAACCAGTGTCATTCATTTCTTTTTCAGCCACAATTAACTTAAATTCAATGAATGACGGCTGGTACGGTGCGCTGAAGGAAGCCATTCAGCAGCAGCAGAACCAGCTGGTTTGGGTCTCAGAGGGAAAGGTAAGACATTTCCTCTTGTTTTACCTTTTAACCTGCTTCGTAAATTACATAACGACTCGGAGAGGCCTTTGAGTTACTTTGTTTTCTAATGGGCCTGGTTTTTATCATCTGTATGGAAGGGTTATGCGAGTTGTTTTGGTGGCAAGATATTCCAAAATTCTCTCAACTATTGACGTACCGCCTCAATGGTGTTCCCTCAAAAGACTTCCTAAATGACAACTAACGGGGCGGGGCTGGGTGCTGTCTCTGCCCCTGTCTCGCTGAGGAATGACTTTGAACCTGGCTTCAGTTTCCTCCTGTGAAAAAGAGGGGAGCCGGGTGGGCGACAAGAGTGTCCCCCAAACGCTGTCCTCAGCACAGGACACTCGGGACTCGCTGTGAGGACAGAGGTCCCTCTGAGGGCCAGGGGCGGGCATCTGCTACCCGTAGCCCCGCAGGGAGGGCACGGTCTCCAGGGCCTGCTAGACTGACAGGCGCGCTGCCCAATCCGTGCCCAGGGGTTTGTCGTCCCTCACTCAGCACCTGTTCACATTCTTACAACACACCGGGGAGGTCGCTCAAAGTAAGGCCTCCTTTTGGCTTTAAGTTTTGATTTACCCACATCCAGTGGCAGGCTTTAAGTTACCCCGTTTCTGCTGTCACTCTTCCTGGTTGGGGGCCATCTTTCACGGGAGTGGCCTGTTGGTTCTGGTGGGAGAGCTAATGTTCGCTCAAAGTGGACAGTTCAGAGAACGTTTTGATTTCAACGTGTTTTACCTTCAGATCAGTGCCGCCTGAATCCGTTCTGGTTGCTAGGGGAGGCTGTGAATGTCTGTTTTTTTTATTTGTTCTCCATTTTCTCCATGGCTTGGGCTGTGTTGTGCCTGCCCCTGCATGGCCCCTCCCCCCTGGCTGTGATGCAGATGCTCGGCCATGCATGCTGCATGCTCCGGCCCGGCCGTACCCACGCAGGACACGCAGCCCCGCAGTGCAGAGCCTGCCAGGACCCTCCCCCTCTGCACCGCTCGGGGCAGGCTCTCTGAGCCGCCAGAGCACTCTGAGCCCCCTGAGCCCCCTGAGCCTCGGGCAGCGGGAGAGAAACCACCACCTGGCAGCCACAGCACACTGACCTCTGCCCGCTGCTCTGGGACAGCACGCCCTGTTGGCGCCCTCTGTCGGCCAGGCTGCTGATCGCACTGTGATTCTCGGATGAGATTGGCTTGAAGTGCAGAGGGCACTGTCTACCTATCAGAGGTTTTTAAACCTCAAATCTCCCTTTTCTGTCCTTTCTCTTGGTTTCCTTTCTTGGCCTGGATTTCACAGTAAAGGCCTAACTCCCCCGACCTTGTGTGTGAGAAAGGCAGGCTGCTTATCACCAGATGGGTCGGTGCATTCGGTAAATCAGAGGGGTTGGTTACAGTTTAGATGGAGCTTCCATTTCCCATCCAAGTGTGTTTGACCTGAGCGGATCCTCAGACTCACAGCACTCACTCCACACTGACTGTCCTGCGCTCGCTGCCGGGCTCTGACCGCTGTGGAGGGTCTGTCTGCCTGCTCCCCGAGAAGGTCGTCCTGAGACTGAGCCGGCGCAGGCCCTCTCCGTCCCAGCGGCCAGCCCTGCGTGGTGCTCACTTGTGCACTCCGTGCCTGGCAGCGAGGTGGACTGTGAGTCCAGGTGCCCGTCCCCCAGGCCTTCCCGCTCCCCTGGCCGGTGCTGGGTGGCAGTCCTCAGCCCTGCAGGGTCAAGGTCACAGCAGAGGGCAGGGAGACAGCTCTTCTCCGCAGCACAGCGTGAGGAAGCCACTGAGGGGCGGGGACAGACCCTGCCGGGACATGACTCCCCCTGTCCTGAGCCTCCAGGAGGCCGACACCCTCGTCTTCCCACCAAGAAGGCAGTGCCGGGCCGGGCTCCTCCCAGCAGACGCGGGCTGCGTGGAGAGCCAGCAGGTGGCTCCGGCCTCCTGTTTGTCCGCGGCGTGGACGAAAGATTGTCTGATTTCTGGGTCCCACACCCTTCGGCGCTCATGCTGACTGGGCACCGTGTCCGGGCAAGAGAGATCTTTACGGGCTGTTGTGTTTAATCCAGTCCGAGGGCGAGGCCTGTGTCCAGTGGCAGCCTGCCGGTGCCGCTCTCACCTCCGTCCCCTCAGGCACCTCTCATCCTCTCAGACGGCAGCGCGGATTGTTAACGCCAACTCGACTCTGATTACTTGTTACAGAGAAGTGAGCTGTGTTCCTCCTTTGCCATCGCTGGATGCTCTGTCTTTGAACAATAACAGAAAAACGTGTAAGAGGCAGCCAGGACTTAGTGATGCTTTCCCCTTGTTGTATAGAAGCTTAAGCTCTGCTGGCTGGTGTGGCTAGTGGTTGAGTATCAACCTAATGAATCAGGAGATCAGGGTTCAGTTTCTGGACAGGGCACATGCCCGGGGTTGTGGGAGGTTTGCAGGAGGCAGCCGATCCATGATTCTCTCTCATCATTGATGTTTCTCTCCCTCTCCGTTCCTCTCTGAAATCAATAAAAATACTTTAAAAAATAATAAAACCTTAAGCTCTTTCTCCACTACAGTTTATATTCATGACCGTTCTCACGTGCTGTCCTGTCGGTGTGTCCCTGCTGTGAGCGTAGTTTGGCAGCACCCTCCCACTTCACCTTGCTTCGGGCTGACACGCTAGTGACTGACTGGGCTTAGGAACCTGAGTGGTGCCAGGATCCCTTCCTTGTCTTCCGGCTGGGCCCCAGAGGCCAGCTCTGTCCTGATTGGCCAGCAACATTCCATTCATCCAAGCCCTCAGGTCTCCAAGGTGCTGTGTGCCTGCATGTGCGCGTGTGCAATCTTCTTGACCTGTCCGCAGCAGAAGTGTCGAGAACTAGTGCCGATACCTTTTCAGTCTCCCTTGTGAACTAAAGGCCCTCTCTCACAGAATACTGAATAAAACTTGTAATTTACTTTCATTTGACCCAGGCGGATGGTGCTACCAGTGATGACCTTGACTTGCATGACGATCGCCTGTCCTACCTGTCAGCCCCAGGTAGTGAATACTCAATGTATAGCACGGACAGTAGACACACCTCTGACTATGAAGACACAGACACAGAAGGCGGGGCCTACACTGATCAAGAACTAGATGAGACTCTTAATGATGAGGTGGGGACCCCCCCGGAGTCCGCCATTACCCGGTCCTCTGAGCCCGTAAGAGAGGATTCCTCTGGGATGCATCACGAAAACCAGACATTTCCTCCCTACTCACCACAAGCGCAGCCACAGCCCGTTCATAGACTAGACTCCCCGGGACTTAAAACAGCCTCTCAACAGGTAAGCAGCAAGCGCGCCAGGGGCGCAGGTAGGGTGCGCTGCTGGACTGGAGGGTGTGGCTGAGTTAAGGGTACATGCAGCTCGCCGCGAGGCTCGGGCTGAGCGTCGACCTGTGAACCTGGAGGTCACGGTGCGATTCCCGGCCGGGGCACATGCCGGCGTTGCGGGCTTAATCCCCAGTAGCTGGCGTGCAGGAGGCAGCCGATCCATGATTCTCTCTCATCATTGATGTTTATCTCTCTCTTCCTCTCCCTTCCTCTCTGAGATCAATAGAAATATATATTTTTTAAAAAAGAATATATTCTGCCCTTTTTCCAGACTAAGAAGTAATTTTTAATTTCGAGTTGAGAATACCAAGGACTTAATTCTACACTGTGTGTGTGTTCATCTTACACAGCAGTATACTGAGTTTCCTTTTAACATCATAGCTTTGTTATTCTGCACATTAGAAATGTATGTCTTCCAGGCACGATAAATGGAGGTAGGAGGTTAGCAATGACCAGAAACACTATTAAAATGTTTTAAACACTTCACAGAAAGCAGACGCCTCATCTCCAGGCCCTTACCTTTCGCCCGAAACAAACCCAGCACCACCCACCTCTGCTGTCAATCACAGTGTCAAGTTCACTCATGTCAGACTGGAGGCGCCCGCCCCTCCCGCCTCTCACTCCCCACCAGCTGACTCTTTGCCAACACCCAGGGCCGAGGCCGCCCACTCCCTGCTCAGGGACCACGGAGCTGCACTGCCGTCGCATGTAGACCCACCACAGGTACCTGGGCCGCGGTGCCCACGCCGCACTGCCCTCCCGTGTCCCTTTGCTTCGTCCTGGGCCACAGCGCTTCCGGCCAGCAGCTGCATTCCCGCCTGTGGTGTGCATGGCTTCCGGTGGCACACGGGTCGTTGCGATTTTTTGCTTTATATTTTTTTTATCCTTATTTTGGGGTTTTCCATGTCTTGCACAATTCCTTACTATATAATGGAGGCCCCGCCTAGACGTTTTTCTGTTTTATAGATCACGGTACGTGCAGATTTTCTTTGTGATTTTCATTTTCAGTGTCCAATCAAGGGGATGAATGGTTCGGGTGCTGATTAACTTTCTACTAAATGGAATAATTAGCACAGTGATTGTTCATTAGCTTAGGTGGGCACATAGAAGCCCCCCTGCACTGTACATGTTGAGCTCTTGCTGAAACTGGCTTCTCCACTAATCTCTCTGCCCTGGTCATAACCGGTGGGGCACGCCGGTTATGGAACTACAGGAAACGGTAGTTTTCTCTGTTATAATCCACGGAAGGAGAGACAAGCCTGTGCGCTTACCCCTGGCTCTTGTGCGTAGGTGTACCGAAAGGACCCCCACCCCGAGGACCTCATCCGGCAGAATCATGTGGTGAAGCAGCCGGCCGGGGCGCATCCCGCACTGAGGCCCGACAGGGACCCCAAGCCGAGCTACGAGCCCCACGCCCCGTACGTGGAGAAGCCGGCCAGCAGGGACCTGGAGCAGCCCACGTACAGATACGACTCCTCTGGCTACGCAGACCCGTTCTCGCGGCACGTGGACCACCGCCTGCGCTATGAGGAGCGCATCCCCGCCTACGAGGAGCACTGGTCCTACTACGAGGACAAGCAGCCCTACCAGCCCCGGCCCTCTGACAGTCAGCACCCCCGGGACCTGGACTCCAGGCAGCACCCCGAAGAGCCCTCGGAGCGGGGCTACTTCCCGCGGTTCGAGGAGCCAGCCCCTCTGCCCTATGACAGCAGACCCCGCTACGACCAGCCGCCCAGGACCTCCACCCTGCGGCACGAGGAGCCCCCGGCTCCCGGGTATGAGGTGCACGGCAGGTACAGGCCCGAGGCGCCGCCTCCCGCGGGCCCCCAGGCCCCTGAGTCCAAGCAGTGTTACGAGCAGTACCCACGGAGCTACGAGCAAGTCCCCGCACAAGGCTTCACCTCGAAGGCAGGCCGCTACGAGCCGCTCCTTCTCAGCACAAGCCGGACGTGCCGCCGCCCAGCACCAAGCCCCTGCCCGCACCCCCCGCCCCCGCGGAGGAGGAGGACCCCGCCATGAAGCCGCAGTCCGTGCTCACCCGGGTGAAGATGTTTGAGAACAAGCGGTCTGCGTCCTTGGAGAACAGGAAGGACGAGAACCACGCGGGCTTTAAGGTAAAGACGGGACTGTCTTCCCTCCGGCCCTGGGCGCACAGCAGGTGGCGAAGAGCAGTTCCCTGCCCTCCCTGCCCCCGCGTGCAGCCTGCGTTGTCGTGATCTGTTCCGGGCCTGTTTGTCTTATTTTTGCAGCCTCCGGAGGCAGCGTCCAAGCCGCCAGGGGCTCCCATCGCGGGTCCTAAAGCCACTCTTCAGAGTCAGTTCAGTGAACACGACAAGACCCTGTACAGGTGGGTACACGCCCTGAGGTCGTGGGGAGCTGGCCCGGCATCGGGCCCTCCTGGGCAGTGAGCCAGTCCTAGTGTGAGGGAGAGAGGAGGAGGGAGACGGCCTTTCTAACTAACATGGTGGCCCTGGACAGAAAAGTAAAGGTCTTTATCATACCTCTGTCGCAGGCCTTTTTATAGCTTCAGGAAACGTGTTGAAAACACACTTTTCTAGCAAAGGGTTAAAATAAAAAGCTTAAAGCCCTAACACTTGTGGTGTGGCTACAAGTTGGCTGCCATTGTGCTAGCACATCCGTGTAGTGAGGGAGGCCCCGGGGCTGCACGGGGGAGGCTCAGGTCCTGGCGGAGCCGGGCGGGAAACCGGGCCGCTGTGCCCTCCCCGGGCCTCCTGGTGCTGCTGAGGGACAGGCTGGATCCGACACGGCCTCTGCTGACCGGCTGTGCTTGTAGTAAAGGGGAGCTGTCTGAGGTGTACACCTTCCTCTTACTTAATAATGCTGGTGCTCTTCATGAACGTACCAACTATGTGGTGTCCCCTTAGCCAGAATGGCTAGCGGATGAGCTGTGTGATGAGACATAGGCACATACCTACTATGTGTTTTCGTTTGGGTGCAGTTTCCAAACGCACCGAGCAGAGCGTGAGCCGCGGCGCATTAATTTGCCTAAAAGCTAGCTTTCTCCCCCGCTGCTTCCCGTGCCCTCGAGGACTGTGCGCTGCACAGAGCTGCTCGCTTGTCTGAAGGTCATTTCTTGGTCCTGGTTAAAGTTCTTACACGTCTCTGAACGTCTCTAAGCCTCTCTCAGTCGTTGCTTGCTGCTGACATGGGTGTATGTACTTGGAGAAGTTCCACTTCCTTTTTGCTAAGTAACTGCTCTTAACCTGCTGTGAGGCCTCTAACCAGATCATTGTCGGCGTAATAGATGGTATTGAACCCATGGGCCGTAAGCGGGCGGCCTTTTGAGCCTTTTGAGCCTCGTGTGTGAAGACGTGGAGTTAAAACGGCCATGTTGACGGGGGCTGCTCAGCAGTCACCAAGGGGTCGCGATCAGCGATGTCCATGCCCCAGTGTCCTGGCGAAGTCACCACCTACAAGGTTGTCCTGTTTGCCGTTCATTGTCAGGGTCCCAGAACCGCAAAAGCCTCAGCCGAAGCCCCCAGAAGATATTGTCCGGTCCAACCACTACGACCCCGAGGAAGACGAAGAGTACTACCGGAAGCAGCTCTCCTACTTCGACCGGAGGAGTTTTGAGAACAAGCCCTCCGCACACATTCCCGCAGGCCACCTCCCAGAGCCGGCCAAGCCGGCTCACTCCCAGCATCCGCCCAGCCTTTCTAGTTATTCCTCGAAGTAAGTCATTTAACCCGAGACTTACCTTTGGAGAGTGAGACGCCACATAAAGGCTCGATTGTGTAGTGGGGCCATCTCATGGAGTTCCGTGTACCTTGAAGGCGATGGTTGAGTGTGTGATACACGCTCTCAGCAGCCTCCAGCGGGTCAGCACAGACACTTTCTAGTGGGAGGCACTGCGTTTGCTTTTGTTCTTAAACTCCCAGAGCAGATGTGGAAAGTTTTTGCATTAGGAGAGGTGTTAAAATCAAAGGTAAGAAAGGATGACTGGACCATAAGAATTTCAGAGAGGAAGGGGGAGAGAGAGAGAGACATCATGTAGAGAGAATCATGGATCGGCTGCCTCCTGCACGCCCCCTACTGGGATCGAGCCCGCAACCTGGGCCTGTGCCCTGACCGGGAATTGAACCATAACCTCCTGGTTCATAGGTCGACACTCAGCTTTTTTTGGTCAGAGAACGTTTGTCTGGTGCAATCACAGAGGTAGGAAGCTCCTATAGAGGAAATGGGCTTAGGAAACAAGTTATGGAGCGAAGGAAGGGCCCTGGGAGCTTGGGAGCGAAGAAGCCAATGGTCGGTGCCGGGTCGGGGAAGGGAAGGGCAAGGCTTGGCGCCAGGAGGGAGAGCGCCTTGGTGGATGTTTTTAATGACATTTGAGTTCCCTTTGCTGCGACTTGCTTAGTTAGATTGACCGTTTCCTCTCGTTTTTCTATTGCGCTTGCTCGGCCATCCCTAGAGTTCTGGGCTCTTACCCTAGCTATGGCTACCTGAAAAGGAGCGTCAAGTGGTAAGACTGGCGTCACGTGAGGCTGCTCATCAGGCGTGCTCCCCTGTCATTGGCGTCATGTGCACTTCCAGATTCGAACGCCATCGTCAAACGCGCGTGTCCATGCAGAAAGCAAGCTAGCGGCACAGCCTAACGCTCACGCTCCAACGGAGTCTGTGAACGTCACTCGACATGTCTGTTGTTGGTGCACATAACGCCAGTGCAGTCGGCTCTGCGAAGGTGTAGATGGCGACGTTCCACTTATGGGTCTCTCTTCAAGGTTTCTTTCGTGTGCATTTTCTGTGTCACATGTTACCCATGGCAGCCTGAGCAAAAACGTATGCGGCCCAATCTGACTTCCATGAGCCTGTAAGACGGAGCAGGGTCTGCTCCTCTAGCTGTTAAAAAGGTGGATCTGGGAGATAAGGGCGACGTTTAAAGTGAACGGCACACTCGCTCGCCTGCCTGGTGTCTCTGCCTCGCAGGCGGAGGCTGAGCAGT